TGTATCAGTGAATTTACTGAGAAAGTTTACAATGACCATCTTTTCCAAAAGCATAGCATTCCTTATAAGTTTTTATATCTAGTTTGGGTATCACACAGATTCTATTTTCTTAGGCTATCATAGGAACTGAATCAAAGTTATTAGATTGGAATATTGGTATAGAAACCATTCCAAAGCTTCAAAGAAATGAATGAAATTCCTTATGTCTTGCAAAACAAAACTTTCATCTATTATTTTTAAAATGTCTGCATAAATGAAATCCTCAAAAATTACTTATAGTTACATTATATGAGAAGTTAAATTTGAGTTGAAGTTTTCAATTTCTCTTGCAAAGGAACACTGAATTCTGTCACTAAATACTTTCCTGATATGCTTTTGGAAAATATATTCAAGATCCCATGTCTGTATTTTTTCAGGCCTTGGATTTACTCAGACTATGTTGATAAAAGAGAAATAGATTTCTTGCAGGAAGAATTGTACTTTCTGTGATAAAAATTTAATAGGCTAATATTTAATTATGTTGATTAGCAAATTTAAAAATTATGCAATATGAAGGATTATAACATCAAATAAAAGCAGAGATGAACTTTTTAGTTCAAAGATTCAGCAGCGTGTTCTATCACTTACTGTAGATTGTGACTATAAAGGAAATATAGTTTAGATGAGCTCTCAGTTCACACTGCTTCAGTGCATTACCATGGGCTGGGTGGCTTAAACAAAAAACGTTTATTTTCCCGTAGTTTTGGAGGGTAAGAAGTCCAAGATCAAGTCCCTGGCTGATCTGGTGTCTAGTGAGGGTACATCCCTGGTTTGCAAAAATAGCTGTCTTCTCCTTGTATTCTCACATGGCTGAGAATAGAGAGCAAGCTCTTATTTTACTTTATTTTATTATTTTTTTTTTTTTTGAGACGGAGTCTCGCTCTGTAGCCCAGGCCGGAGTGCAGTGGCCGGATCTCAGCTCACTGCAAGCTCCGCCTCCCGGGTTCACGCCATTCTCCGGCCTCAGCCTCCCGAGTAGCTGGGACTACAGGCGCCCGCCACCTCGCCCGGCTAGTTTTTTGTATTTCTTAGTAGAGACGGGGTTTCACCATGTTAGCCAGGATGGTCTCGATCTCCTGACCTCGTGATCCACCCGTCTCGGCCTCCCAAAGTGCTGGGATTACAGGCTTGAGCCACCGTGCCCGGCCTCGAGAGCAAGCTCTTATAAGGGTACTAATTTGTGAGAGCTCGACCTTCAGCACCTAATTACTTGCCAAAAGAAACCTACTAATACCGTCACATTGGAGGTTAGGATTTCAACCTATGAATTTTTGAGGGACATAATCATTCAGCCCATAACACATACTAACTTTTTGAACAGTAAAAACTGGCCTAAAGATAATTATCTTCTAAAAATATCCTGACAGATGTGAAACCACATAGTAACATGCTTGGAACACATTTGGACATATGTATTCATAGAGTTCTATATTTGGGTACTTTCATAGAAATCTTTACCTTAATTTAATAGCTAAAGCAGCGATTATTTACTATATTGAAGTGTTTTTCTGCATCATTTCATTTCATCTTAATGAAAATTTTAGTTAAGTTTATTAAACCCATTTTATAGGTAAGGCAACAAAAGCTTATAAAGCATAAGTAACTTGCACAAATACATAGAAATTTGTAAGTGTCGGAGCCAGAATTCAGACCCAATTCTGTCCAAATCCCATGCTCTTACTCAAGCTTCTTATTTTATAGATTAAAAATCAGAACCTTAGAAAGAAGAAATAATTTACTTGAGGACACATGTCTAACCACTATTAGAGCACATCTTGTAACCCAACTATTCTGGCTCATATGCAATACTAAGTGTTGATATTTGTATGTTTAATTTACATAAAAATATCCATGAGAAATAGATCTTGATGACGAGAGAATTGCATTCATTTTTGATGAAAAAATAAAAGAGAAACATTAGTAAATAATATAATGGTCATAAAAGTGCAAATTAAATTAATAATGAAACATTATTGCACTGTCAGAATACCAACAAAGTTTTTTTAAAGAAACACATTTATAATATTTGTAAAATTACATTCATTGAATCTGTTTTATATATAAAGAATGAAATAATTTTCTAAAAAACAAAATAAGGGAGGTGAAGTAGAATTATAGAAACACAGGTGTAATACATTATCTAGAGCTTAGTAGCAAATCCTCAGAAAAATTCTAAGTAAAAGGAAAATACACAAAAAATACTTAAATGTAACCAAATGATTTACCAGAAACAAATTAGAAACATCTACTAAGTGGTAAAATCTAGATTAGGACAAAAATGTCTGACCTCATCCACTGGTACCACTTGGGAGATTTTAGATAATGCAAGACAATAATATAAACTAGTAAGCATAAACTTAGAAAAAGGAACCAAATATCTGTATTTGCTTATTATAATTACATACACAAACAAGAATATTTATTACTAGCTAAATGATTAATATAATTTAATAACTTGTACTAATATTTTAATATTAAAATGTCAAATGTCAAGATAGAAATGCAAGATGTAATAGCTTCTCTAGCTAAATAGTATTACAGTTGGAAATGTATATCTAATTACAGTTAGAAATGTATGTAGAAATAGTATATACAGTTAGAAATGGAAATGATAATAGTTGAAAATAAGAGTGTTCATGGCACCTTTGTTGAATATCAGTTGATCATATATGCATGGATTTATTTATGTATTTTATATTGTGTTCTATTAGTCTATATGATTGCCTTTATGCAATACCATACTGTTTTGATTACTGTAGCTTTATAAGGTATTTTGAAAGCAGGTAGTATGATGTTTCCAACTTCATCCTTCTTTCTCCAGATTGATTTGGTTATTTGTAATCTTTTATGGTTCCATATGAAATATAAAATTGTTTTGTCTATTTCTGGAAAAAAAAAAAACCTTTAGGATTTTAATAGAAATTTTATTGACTCTATAGGTCTCATTAGGTAATAGGGACATTTTTATAATATTATCTTCCAATCTGTGAACATGAGATGTATTTGCATTTGTTTGTGTTCTTTAATTTCTTTATTTGGTGTTTTGTAGTTTTCAGTAAACAAGTCTTTTACCTTCTTAGCTATGTTTATTCTAAGTATTTTATTTTATTTTTTTTAGTGCTGTTGTAGATGGAGTTGTTTTACTAATTTAATCTCTACAAAAATAGCATTGAAAAATTGGATATCCACATTCAAGAATAAAATTGGACCCTTATCTTGCACTGTACTTAATAATCAACTAAAAATGGACTAAAGACATAAATGTAAGAATTGTAATGTAAAACTCTTAGAAGAATACATACAGAAAAATATTTTCACATTTGTCTTGGCAATGACTTCATGGATGTGACACCAAAAGCACAGGCAAAAAAAAACAAAAATAAACCAGTGGGACTACATCAAACTAGAAAACGTTTGCACAGCAAAGGAACCAATCACCAGTGCAAAGGCAACCTATAGAATGGGAGAAAATATTGGAAACTGTGCATCTGATAAAGGGTTAATCTCCAAAATATATAAGACAATATTCCAATTCAATAGCTAAAAATAATAGCCCAATTTAAAAATAGGATAAAGATTTGAATATACATTTCTCTAAAAAAGACATACAAATGGCCAACACGTGTATTTTTAAAATGTCCAATGCCACTAATCATCAGGAAAATGCAAATCAAAACCACAATGAAATATTACCTCATACCTATTAGCATTGCTTATATTTAAAAAACACAAAAGAAAAGTGTTGACAAGGATATGGAGAAACTAGACTTTTTGCACCCTGTTGTTGGGAGCACAAATTGGTGTAGCCACTATGGAAAACAGTATGGACGTCCCTTAAACAATTAACAGTAGACCATTTGATCTAGCGTCCCACTTCTAGATATTTTCTACAGGAATTTAAATTGGGATCTCAAAGAGATATTAGCAGTACCATGTTAATTGGAGCATTATGCATAATAGCTAATATCTGGGAAATTATTTATAGATAAATAAAATATGTACATAAAATGGAATGCTCTTCAGCCTTAAAAAGGAAATTCTGCAATGTGTAATAGGATAGATGAGCCTTAGAACATTATGCTACATGAAATAAGCCTGTCACAGAATACCCAAACCTTACCACTCATACGAGGTATCTAAAATGGTCAAATTTATAGAATTCAAAAGTGGAATGGTGGTTACAAGGGGTTGAGGCATGGGAAATGGGAACCTACTAATCCATGGGCATAAAGTTTCAGTTATACAAGATGAATAAGTTCTATAGATCTGCTGTACAACATTCTACCTATAGTTATCAATATTGTATTGTATACTTAAAAATTTGTGTTGAGGGTATATCTCATGTTAAGTGTTCTTATCATGATAATATAACATTTTAAAAAGTAGAAGAGTGACTCAACCACAGTCAGTCTATATTAAAACAACTATAAAAATTGTATTAAATAATATAAAACAAATAAATATAGACATATAATTTATCCTTTGATTAACAAAATGTCACCTTTTCCAAAATGTTCATGGAATTTAATACAGCTCTGTTCAGCATTTTGGCACTTCCTATGGACTTCCAGCTAACTGGTTAGATACAAAATAGATAAAATGATTTTGCATTCATATGAAACAATGAATACCAGCAATTTAGAAAAAATAATTACCAATTTAAAATATCAGCAAGAAACATAATATTACTACAAAAAACATAATTTGATTAGAAGAAAGGATCAAATCAATCCATATAATTATAGGATTTTCCTTGTGGACAAATGATCACTCTTACATGTCATTAGAGGGGGTGTAAAGTGTTACATTCTTTCTAGAATAAGCTCTGACAATATTATTTTTTTATTGTAAAGCATAACCCCTCTGATTCAGCAATGTAATTTTAGGGTTCTATTCTGTAGGAAAATAATTACCAAAAAATGAGTATTTATTTCATAACTTCTTTTGTTTGCCTTTTGAAGTGGCCTAGATCTAGAAACAACCTCAGTGAGCATCAGTTAAGAAAGTATTGACTAAATAATGGAATAATTGCATTCTGGAAAGCTATCAAACTACCAGCAATGAGTTTGGTCTATTGTGACTACATATCCTGGATTCCCTGGGAAAGTACCAGTTTAGAATTTCCTTTCAAACACAATTTTTATTAGCAGTCTTTCTTGGTTTGGATACTAAAATATAGTTATCATTGTTAGATTCACCTCTATTGATACGAAGGTTTTTTTCCAAGTGTTTCCATACATATATAAAGTAGTTGTAAACAAAAAATTAAAAGTTATATGTAAATGTTTATATGACCATGGACAAAAGGTTGGAAACATACTCCTCAGTTTGTCATTTTTGATTGTCAGGGTTTGGATTGAGGACCACATATGTTTTGGGGATTTAAAAATAATATATAAAGAATATGTAAAGGGCAAAAAGATATTGAATAGCTGTCTTGGTTCTAAATTTATTTGAGACCTTCAAAGACCTTGTGCTTTTTTCATCTTTCAAAATATTCCATTTTGTAATAAAGTCTTCATTTCCTTGATGTAATTATATTATGGAGAATATCAGTTAATTTAAAAAATAACAATGGAAATGCTACTAATTTCAGAATTTATAACACATGCTTCATATTGTAACATAGTTTCAGCGTATCTTTTCTTTAGACCCATGATCTTATACCTGTTGCCATGCCCATTTGATAGTCCTTAGTAAGGGGAAAAAACATACATTTATTCAATACCTACCATGTGTCTGACACAGTATTAGGTGCTCTAAAAATGTTTGATATTATTTTACAGATAAAGAACTAAGGCTTTATGCAGTTTAATTTTTCTATCATTCCTACATGGAGGAAATATAGAGTCAATGTTAAAACTGAGGTCTGTCTGCTTTCCAATCATGTCCACTTTAACATACTGCTGCCCATGCATTTACATATCTGTTAGTTTTCATTCTTACACTATTAATGTGTTTCTTTCTACTAGCATTGAAAGCTTTCCCCCACAGGAATTGTTTTCATTGGAGTGGCAATTCTCAAGTAAAAAATGAACCTGTGTTTAGAATTATGTCACCTTTCCCAACACTGCCAAATGCACAAGAAACTATACATAGCACCAAGTTGTATTAGCTTTGTTTTAAGGAAACACAATCTAAGGTTAGAAAAGACAAATGACTTGTCCAGCGGCACGTTCCACATCACTCAGAGTTAAAAATAGAATTGTGAACAAGTTAAATCCTTTTTGGCTTTTTAGTTTAAAATGCTATTTATAAGATGTCAGTGATTATCTGATTTTAGATCATGGCTATCTAAATTTTATTGCTTGCCAGGACTGGTAATGATTACAAGACATTAGTATTTTTGACTTGTTGAAAATAAGATTTTAAAAAGGGTCATTCAATTAAGAATGAGTTATGTTAGTCTGCCTCCAAAATCATTTGGCATGTCCTTTATAGTATACATACTGATTGAATAATATGAAATATTGAACATAAAAGGACAAGACAAGTTTTAATTATGTGTTATTTGCATGTACCATTATCTAATGGATAATTTGGCTAAATTTGGCCATTTTATCTGTAGCCATTAGATATTTTAAGATATATGCTTAATCTTTCAACAGACATTTACTGAATATTTCATATGTGACAGGCACTCTTCTAAGAACTGAGAATAAAATACTGAACATAACCAAATTCTTGTTTTCATGAAACTTACATTATATTGGGAGAAGATTATACTTAAAAAATATATATAATATTATATGGTATATATGATACATAGGCAGTGGTAAGTGCTCTGAAGAGAAAGATCAGAAATTAAAGTTGATGGAGAAATGATCTTTTAAATTAGGGGATCAAGGCAGATCTCAGTTTGAATGTTCACTCTATATTTCCTCCATGTAGGAATGACAGAAAAATTAAACTGCATAAAGCCTTAATTATTTATCTCTGAAAGATTAACAAACACTTTTAGAGTCCTAACATTGTATCAGACACATGGTAGGTATTAAGTAAATGTATGGTTTTTTCCACTTACTAAGGACTATCAAATGGGTATGCCTCTATGTATAAGATCATGGGTCCAATAATATGACATTACACCTGAGACCTGAAGGAAGTGAAAGGTCTATAGATAGAACAATATAGGTAGAGTGAACAAAGAGAGTATAACATTATCTGAAGTGGATCATGCATGGGATGATTGATGGTAAGTTATGTGTAGTTGAAATGAGTGAGTGAAAGGGGACATTGTAAAATATGGAATCAGAGTAATAGCAGGGGAAACGTAAATGTGAGACCATAGAACCTTGGTAAGGACTTTAGATTTAATTCTGAATGAAACAGAAAGGCATTGGAGATTTGTAAGCAGAGGAGTGAGATGATGAGATGATCTGACTTAAGTTTTCAAATAATCACTTGGGTTCTATGTGCAAAAGAGATTTGGGGGACAAGGACTGAAGTGAGATCATTTGGGAGGGCATTAAAAAGTCCATGTAAAAGATAATGATGGCAGATCCCAAATTGACCCACAGATTCAATGCAGTCCCTATAAAAACCCCAGCTTGATTATTTTCAGAAAGCCACAGGCTAATCCTAAAATTCGTATGGAAACACAAGAGTTTCAAAGTTGCCAGAATAATCTTGAAAGAAAACAAAGCAGACAGACCTACACTTCCCAATTTCAAAACTTACTACAAAGCTGTATGGTATTGGCAAAAAAAGGGTAGACATATGTAACAATGGAATGTAATTGAATGTCCAGAAGTAAAACTTTATTTTTATGGCTAGTTGATTTTTTTTGACATGTTGCTGAGATAATTCAATGGGGGAAAGAATAATCTTTTCAACAAACGATGCTGAGATAATGGGATAGTTGGATCCCATTTTGAAGGATCCAACTTTGTATCCACACTTTGCACAAAAATTAACTCTAAATGGGTCATAGAGATTATAGACTTAATTGTAAGAACTAAAACTGTACAACTCTTAGAAGAAAATTTAGAAGTAAATCTTTGTGACCTTGGGTGAAGCAAACCCTTTACAGACAGAAAAGCCCAACCAAAAAATGAAACGAAATAAAATAATTTGGCCTCCATAAAAATAAAAAAACTTTTGTGCTGCAAATGGCACTGTCAAGAAAGTGATGTGAATCCACAGAATGTAAGAAAATTGCAGATAATTTCTTTGACAAAGACTTTATACCCAGCATGTAAAAAGAAACACAACCGTGTAATTAAAAATTAATGAAGGACTGGAATAGGTCTTTCTCCAAAGAAGAATGGCTGATAAGCACAGAAAAAGGTACTCACTATCACTAGTTATTAGGAAGATGAAAATCAGAACAGCAGTGAGATAAGATTTCATACCTGCTATGGTGAAAAAAATATAAAATATAGACAATAATAAGTGTTGTCAAAGATGTGAAAAAAATGGTGCTCTCATACATAGCTCATGGAAATGTGAAGTGGTACAGCCACTTTGAAAACAACGTGGCAGTTTCCCAGTAAGTTCAACATATATTTACTGTATTACTGAGCATTTCTACCCCTAGGTCTATATGCAAGACAAATGAAAATATATGTACATGCAAAATCTTGTACATGAATTAAAGTTTGTACGAGCATTATTCATAATAGCCAAAAGGCAGAAACAACTAAAAAGTTCATTAACCAATGAAGGGATAAATTAAAATGGTATATGCATATTCTTGAATATTCAGCAATAAAAAGGAATGAAGTTCTGATACATGAAATAACCTAGATGAACCTTGAAAACTTTTTGCTAAGTGAAAGAAGCTAGAAACAAAAGATCACATATTGTATGATTTCATTGATATGAAGTGCACAGAATAGGCAAATCTGTAGCAGAAAGTAGATTAGTGGTTGCTAGGCATGAGGAAGAGGGTGGAGAGGAATGAAGAGTGACCAGTAAATTGTATGTGTTTCTTTTGGGGGTGACAAAAACATTCCAAATTAGATTCCAGTGATGATTGCCCAACTCTGTGAATATAATGAAAAACAATAAATTATTTACTTCCAAATGGGTAAACAGTGTTGTACATGAATTATATCCCAATAAAGCAGTTAATATTTTTTTCTAAGAGATGATGATGTCTGGGACTATCTTGGGAATATTGAAGGTGATGGGAAGTCTGATTCTAGATGCATCAGGGTAAACCATGACATGGCTAGCATTTAACTATTTTTTATTTATAAAAAGAGAATTTCAAGTGGTTCTACTTAACATTTTGCAGATTTATTTAGAGGTTTTTGATGTTAGGACTGTGTGATGACTCCTAAGGCTTAGGACCGAGGAATTATAAATATGAGCATGTCATTTACTGGAATCTAAAAGATTGAAAGTGGAGTAATTTGTGACTGGGATCAAGAGATTATTTTTAGGCATGTTAGCTCTACAGAGAGTAGAATATTACCAAGTGGATGTTCCAGTAAGCAGGGAGACAGCAGTTCCCTATTTAGGAGAAAGCGAGAGAAATAATTTGCTCTGACTGTACTCAAACATAGGTCATACTGTGACTAGGTAATGTTTTTTGCTCTTTTGGTAATATTCTTCCTCCAGAAACAGTCCATCTGTGCTGCCAATTAGATAAGATGTGACCAAGTCATCTTAATTCCTTACTAGAGAAATAAAGATCAAGATTTGAAAGTAGACATATGCCCTAAATTATTATTAGTCATTATATTTTATTCAACATGAGTATACTTTTTTTAATAAAGCACCTACTCCGTAATCAGGAGTAGGCTTTGGGAATTGCAAAACAACTATAAACCATGGTTGATTTCCCCAAAGAAATTGTGGTTTGGACAGAATAATAGTCTGGCTTGCGCAAAAAAAGTCAGTGACAACCAAATGACAGAAATATAAACGTACTAAGGGACCAATATAGGATGTGCAATAGACCAGTGAAACTTAAATGCCAAGATGAGTGGTTAAAATCTTAAGAACTATGCCTGAGAAGAGAGAGAGAAAACCACCCTGAACAGGCACAGTCAGAGAATGTTTATGAAATGAGACTTCTTCTAGGCTTCAAAACAGAGCAGATTTGAATACATTAGTGGAAGAGAGACAGATAATCAAAATTGGAGAAAACAAATGTGAATATTAGTGGAAAGACTGAATTGCACATTGGCTATTTAGAAAACAGTGAATTAAAAAAACACTATCCAAAGGCCAGTATCCCGGGAGC